ATTGATTTAGAAGGAAACAGACGTAACCTAACCGAAGTGCTACTTCTACATCTTGCTGGAAGTACTGAGAAAACCGAGAAAACCTCAGTCGGGGTATTCGGAATGTCGGCTGTGATTCGAACCGAGCACCTCCCAAACTGAAGTCTACAGTGTTGCCGCTACACCATCCTGGTGCATGACAGTGTGTAGCTTCACAGATAGGTGCCTCTGTAGAGAAGAAGATGCTGCCTCCATACTCAGGGTAGGTGGCATCAGCTTCCTCCAAAACGACAGTACTTATACATCGAACTACACGGCGTCATGTTCCAAATAATGCGAATTTTAAGCATATTTATTTGGCGACTTCCCTAGCTCAGAAAATGTAGCACTGAGTGGTGGGATGAGGGGTACATAACGAACTGGAAAGGATTTGAAAGGGCGCGGTAGTGGTTACGTCTGAAAACAATACCCCGACATTTGACCGGAGAGACTGAGAACAACCACGAATAACTTCAGTGAGAACAGTGGTGTCCTAGTCGAACTTTTAATCAGGTACCTCCCGAATACAGAACCAGGACAGCGCAGTCGGTATAGCGACTACGAGCTCGCAGTTCGAGTCCCGGTAGGGTCAAGAATTTTCTCATTTCCGTAGCTTCCAAGCCGTCTCTGAGGCCCACCCAGCCTCTTATCCAATGGGTACCTTGGGTTCTTTCCCTGGAAGCAAAGCGGCCTGGTCGTGAAGCCAACCAATCACCTCCAACTAGTGCCGAGGTCAAGAATTCGCGGATCTATACATCCGCTCCTCCATAAGTCTTAACGGCGTTGTGCTTAATTAGTTACGCACAGGAACAACTTCACCTCCCAAATATGTATATGTGAGAAGCGTTACCGCTTGAGCTAACCAGCTCGGAAACCTTAGGCGCAGTATCGTCATTATTGTATGTTACGCCAAGTGACATGTAGACTGACATTCGCTGTGGTTTCTCATTTCGAGAGTTAAAAGTCCCGGAAACAGCAGCATCTTTAATCAATTAAAAATAGTTTCTTGTATGAGTTCTCGGAAAGTATTCAAGGCAACATTTACAGTCCAGCGAACTTTAACCGTTATTAAGAAGAGCAGAAAGCTTTCAGTCATAGACCCCCCCTCCAAGAGCTGGCGCTCTACTTTAAAGAAAGAGACCAGGGATCGCGAGCAATTGGCATAGGTGCCAAATTTGGCAGTGACATGGATTTGGCCTGGTATTGGTGATTACACAATCCATTAGTATTAACGTCTAAAGATATTTATTTGGAAATCCAGAAATTAACAGAAGACCGCCTCTGTGGTCTAGTGGTCAGAGTTCATGACTACAGATCCAGAGATCCCGGGTTCGATTCCCGGCTCTACCAGATTTTCTGAGTAGTAGTAGGTCTGGAACGGGGTCCACTCAGCCTCGTGAAGATAATTGAGGAGCTATTTCAAGGAAATAGGTCTAGAAACCCGAGATTAACGGTCGTGTGGTATCGTTGCGCTGACCACATGACACTCTCTATCCGCTAAAGTTGACATTAACTTCAACGACAAACGGCGGTCGCTCGGTCGGTATAGTTCGCTTGCGGACTCAAGCCACGGAGTTTGTTTTGTACAATTAACAAACTCCTAATTTTCTGCGTTAGATTCAATGATACTTTTAGGTTTCATTTTGACTCCAAATAACGGAAAAATGTGGTTGCTGAAGAAAACACAACACTGTACTTTTCTTCTCAGTACTGCTAATTTAAAATAATTTTAAACTCAAAACGGAGCCGGAATAGCTCACACTACTTGATAGGAGACCTAGGAATCGGACTTCAATTAGCAGGATGGGAAACCAATTTTATATTCTTTATATTGCCCAGATTAAAACTGGGGCCCATGTAACCTCCTGACCAATGGGGGTAAAGCTGACGTTGGGAGACGCTCATCAGTCACCCCCTTCTAGTGCCAATATTCAGTAAAATCCTACGTGGATCCATACCTCCACTTCTCCATACGTACATGTGTATTTATGGCGTAAACAGAGACACAGCCTTTTAATTTACGCCGAGAACCAAAATAAATTTAAGAAGCAGGCTCGTAGATGAAACATATCATCTTTGTAATGGCCTCGAAAAATGCGCAAGAGAACTAGAGACGAGAGAATGGTTGGAATGAAGGAACGGAACTGAACTAACAGACATTTGCTGAACGAAAGCGAACAGGGAACCCATGAGAATGGGGAAACCGGAAGAATGAGAAGAATCAATTGTTTAAATTTCTCATGTTTAACCTTCTGAAAGAGAAGGACAAACACATAACATAAACGAAATGTTCTTGGGAGAACTAGCCCCTTAATTTCTTTTGATACGTCACGGATAGCATAGAAGACGACGCGTCAAACAATTCTATTCTTGTTTATGTATTCGTTGCAGCGGTAACTTTTATACCGAGCAATTGCCTATCAACGTTAGGGGGATACACAGACACACAGATAGCGTGGGGATCTCATAAGCCTGCTTTTATTTTTCCATAATGAGGAAAGTAGGGTAAAAATTATTCTTTGCCACCACGTTAACAGTAGCATAGATGGTTGAGTCACTGTGCTACAAGCCAGAAGGTCGCGGGTTCAAATCCCGATGAGGTCACTGGATTTTTCAGTTGACCTGAACCTTCCAGCCACGCTCTGTCCATGGAGTCGACTCAGCCTCTAACAGAAAAGAGTACCAGGAATCTTCCTGGGTTAAAGGGCGGCCGGCTGACAACCTCACAGCCATCTGTGAGTCGATATTCTAGAAAATGTGTGAACCTCGAAGTCTCACAACCTTATGGGCCTCCACGTCCTGTTACAGGGATAGTTTTGCTTTACGTTTTACTTCCATGCCAACAGAGTGAACTTCAGTTTCATAGTCCAGTCTGTTAATGATAGGAACATATAGGATCTATCTCTAGTTCTGTATGGATATGAATCTTGAGCTGGCATTCTGAATTGAGAAATTTCGGGAATTGATGGCCAAGGAGAATATTTGGGGATAAGAAAGGAGAAGTAACACAGACCTTGATAAAATACGCAAAGAGCAGCTGTATAACGTGTACGTTTCGCATAATATTATTAGGGATATTTTCTCAAAAAATGAGAAAAGCGAAACATGGAGCAGGTATGTGGGACACTTAGTTAGTTAGTTATTGGAGAGGGTGGGTTTCCCCATGCACTCAGACCTGTATTGGTCCATTGTGCTTCCCTCTATGATTTCTACCAGTTTCTATATCCTACCGGTACTGGTGCTTACCATCAGTCCCGCCCAGCCAGCGAGACCGGCTCTACTAGCTGAGAGGTATCTATAATGCTTCCCCCACCTACCAGAGGTATTAGAGACTGCTGTTGGGCGGGAAACGTCCGTTAATTTGGCTCAGTGACCTCATTTGGAGATATGAGGTTCTTTTACGTGCCGTAAAGCTACGACACGGGACCCACGGCTTAAAGTCCCTCCCGGAGGACTTGTTCCCTGAATTTTTCCGCCCTTAAAAATTCGACGACCTTCGCCGGGAAAATGAACCCGCGTACTACGAGTCATGAGGTGGGAACGTTACCTCTAGACTACGGAGGCCGATGTGGGACACTTAAAACACGTATAAAATTTTGATCGGAAATCCTCAAGGTTGNGCTATCCTAAGCCAGATCAATCCAACCCATCCCATCCTATCTTTCTAAGATCCATTTTAGTATTATCCACGCACCTACGTCTTGGTTTTCCTAGTGGTAACTTTCCTTTTGGCTTTCCCACCAAAATCTCATACGCATTTCTCTTCTCCACCATTCGTGCTACTTGCCCTGCCCATCTCATCCTATTGACTTAATCATTCTAATTATACTTGGAGAAGAGAACAAGTTATGAAGCTCCTCTTTATGCAGTTTTNTGGGACACTTAAAACACGTATAAAATTTTGATCGGAAATCCTCAAGGTTGAGACTATTTGACAGACGCAGGAGTAGAAGGGAATGGAAACAATGTCTTAAATAAATGAAAAATAAGGACGAAGACTACGGTCTTACTTATTTACTTACTCATGGAGCTGAGCCCTTCTTGAGGAGCCATCAATTATGCAGCTACTCTAGAATTTCCCAGCATTTTATGGAACCCGAAGGTTCATTACAGTGTCCACAAGAGCCCTCCACTAGTCCCTATCCTAAGCCAGATCAATCCAATCCATCCCATCCCATCCTATCTTTCTAAGACCCATTTTAATATTGCCCACCCACCTACGCCTTGGTCTTCCCATTGGTCTCTTTCCATCTGGCTTTCCAACCAATATCCTATATGCATTTCTCGTCTCACCTATTCGTGCTACATGCACTGCCCATCTCATCCTCCTTGACTTGATCATTCTAATTACACTTGGAGAAGAGTACAAGTTATGAATCTCCTCATTAAGAGTACGGCCTTCTGAGTTTTAATGCCGTGTGGTTTGGAGTGTATCCGAAGTTTCGGAGAAACACATCGCCCACGTCTTTAGGGTCGAAGAGTAAGCCAAGCAGAAGCATGCTGGCTATTCTTGCTTAGTTACGCCTCAGCTCCGAATACGGAAGCGTTATGTACCACCGAAACGTCGCATTTTCTCCTGACAGATTCGAAACGTGAGAATGCTGAGGGTAGGGTCAAGTGGAGCGAACTGGTGAACACGGTGACGAAATTTTGGGTTCCATACAAGGCAAGGAATTCGTTTAAAACCCGAGCCAATTTCAACCTCTGACGAGACATCGCTACCATCGAGACCGTTGCGAACTAAACACAGCTTAATCAGTTAGCAAAGAAGCGAATACGAACAATCTATGGGTAAAGTCCAGGTTTTTAACATCAAAACAAGTGGTACATATAGTTACCACCCTACTTCCGACATAAACAACGAGGACGTTTGTGTGCAGAACTCATTTCAGGCATTAATGATGGCGATGCAAGGGCAAAGCGGAGAGGGGCGGAGCTTCGGCACGGAGCGATCCGGAGATGAACAGATATGAAGACAGGCAGACATAATCTCCATGCCTTAGCAGAGCGTGACGGCCCAGTTCCAGTGCGATCCCGTGCTAAATTCAACACGAAACAACATATAACAATGGTTTTTAGCCCCAAAATAAGTTTGTAATATAAAAGTGAATTAGAAACATGGCGGCCGTGAACGCGTGCTTTGTGCCTGATGACGGGGTGGCTGTGGCGACGAACGGGGGAGCCAGGCACCAACAAACGGTCAGCAGCACCACCAATGCAGAAAGTGCGCAAGAGAGTGCAGGTTGCTGGTCAGGTAACGACACTTTCATTGATACGAACGCGATATGTCGCCCGGGAACAATTACCTCTAGTGTTGAGCAACTTCAATGGGATAATATTTGTTATCCTTCGCCTGTTTATTTAGATTAATTGTGATATTTCATTGATTTAGTTCAGAGTTACCACGGGAACTGAATAAGCCCACAGATGCCAGTTTATGTCAGATGGTTCACCAATTCTAGTTAGCGACGCGACAGACTAATTCAGATGGACAACTTTATAATTCTAAAACTAGTGATGTTTTACAATTTATTCACATTATACGCCTACACCGATCTGGCAATCAATACTGCAGAGCACATATCAATTGTCCGGTCTGTCCATCTGTTAGTCCGTCCGCATGTTCAAACCCTCAAGAACAGTTGGAGGGCGATTATTAATACTAATATTACATCATTCATGGCCACCCCAAATTCGTGTTTGATTACCAACAATCGGTAATAATGAGGTGGATGACATATAAGCGAGCTTGTGAGGTTGGAGGAGACTAGGACGACTACCGAAATACGGTAACAATGGTATCTGTAACAACAATAGTAACAATAGCAATCATCATAACGATTGGGTTACATACAACCGAACACGTGATCGGTACGTCATATTATTCACGCGATTAATAATTCTTCAGACAGAACAGCATAACGCTCTAGAATCTTAGATGAGACAGTCGCTCTTCTGACTCAGACTTCCGTGGTTTTCTCCGAGTCCCTTCAAGTATATGTCCGGACAGTACCCTGACTATACCACGACCGCTTCCTTCCAAATTCCTACTAATTCATCTTATCATCGACACTATACAGTCTTGGTACTAAGAGCGCCGTTACGTTTTGACTAAAAAGGTAAAGCTGTAGAGTGTAGACTGATGAAAGGCAACTTAGAATATTGTAATTAATACTTTCTGCGTGTTGATTAAGGTTACCTGGACCAGGCAGGCGCATTCAGAGTGATAGGTTGCAAAAAGCACATCGGTAAGGGTTGCTCCTATCCAGTCGTTTTAGTATTTGCTGGTCCATCGAAATGTAATTAAGATCTGACATTTTTAGTTGTGTGGAATGGCCAGAATATGTTTACACGTGGATGTACAATTCAGATTGCTAACTCTCAAGACGTCTAGAGGTAGACCTGACGACCATATCCAGACGGACTTCGAAGAAAACAGGGTGTGGGTCAGGCAAGTTTCTAATTCTGGGTTTTTTCTTAACATGATAATGAATTTTTCACAAGAGACATAATTTCTATTGGCTTTTCAAAGACAGCAACGTACAGTGGCTCCAGTTAGATCCTCTGGGAGTCCAGATTTTGAAGCTGTGAAATTATTTGTTACGCCCATCTGCTGAATAGAATATTTTGTTCTCATAACTGAATGACGTCATGTACTCAATGGTTCTTAATGGCCGTAGCGTGGCTAGTGATGGATTCAAGGACTTGTCAAATAAGTATGATACCTTGAAAAATTGCCCCCATTATAACGTTTGAATAAATCATCCACATCTTCTTCTTGGCTCACATGTCCTTACTGCTTTGGGAACTACTGCGTTGTTTGCAAGAACTGCAGGAACACCAAGAGTTCTGCTAACTCTTCAGGAGTTTAACCACACTCTTTCATGTGCAGAAGATGTAGGAGTGTAGAGTCAAATGAGGTGGAGAAATCATGTAAGTGACTAAGTCAAGACACGGAACGAGGCGGTTGTGGATCATTTCGATGTACTGTCCTGATCTTATTTACATGGGCAGACTACGAAAAAAACTCAGTCAGGACGGTCAAGAGAGAAGGTAACTCAAACGAGGTTCGAACTGAGCATCTGCAGAATGCAGACCTCGGTTATAGAGAACGCTCCTGATGGCGGTATGACACGCTGAATCCTTGGGGTTTTCTGGATTTTGTCCATCATTGGACAAAATCCATAAAAGCCAGTGATCATGACAAGTCTCGATAGCTCCCACTATGCTAACCCACTCGTTATATGTATATGTATGTAGGCTTATATAATCAGGGGTCAACAAATGTTTACTTAGTTCACCAATCAGGAAAAGAAATCTACAAGTCATACCCTTCTCCAAACGACAAAACCGCACCTACCCACGCCAATGTAACTGCTCTACACCAGTCTACTGACAGTCACGAGACCACTAGAGTCTAGTGGTCAGAGTTCCGGCCTACAGATCCAGAGACCCGGGTTCGATTCCCGGCGTTACCAGATTTTCTGAGAAGTAGTGGCTCTGGAACGGGGTCCACTCAGCCTCGTAAGGATAACTGAGGAGTTATTTCAAGGATATAGCGGCTTCGGTCTAGAAAACCGAGATTAACGGCCGTGGGGATCCCTTGCCCTAACAACGCGACACCCTCTATCAGCTAAAGTTGGCACTATCTTCGCCGATAAGCGGCGGTCGCTCGGTTGGTATAGTTCGCTTGCGGACTAAAACCACGGTTTTGTTTCTTTTTGTTTTGTATATATATATATTCCATATTATTTGATTATACTTTAACCATATTTAATACGAGTACAAGGGTGTCACAATGATGGTTACAAAGACATTTACCTTCTGCAATACAACTTCATGTAGTTTGCTGGAAGTTAGGCAACGTCCCGGAGGGACAAAAGCATCGGTAAACTTCCACTGCACCGCAAGACGTTACAGTCAAGAAGACAGAATTCTTCACTATCACTAATATCACAACTTGAGCTCTGACTAGATCAAGAAAGTCCATGATTTATTTCACCGTCATCTAGTGCATACACTTATCTACCTCACTCCTCTCTCTCGCACTACATGTTTCGGCACAAAAGTGCCATCTTCAGGTGCTCATTCGATTAACGTTAAACTAGTTCACTGCATGCCTTGTCGTCTTCATATTGAAATTTCATATTGAAATAATTAAAATATATATTTATCATATATATTGATAAATATTAAATATTAAAAATATTAAAATTGATCAGGATTTTTCCTACGTCGTATCTCACTATTCGAGTCACATCTNCCTAAACAATTTTAATATTTTTAATATTTAATATTTATCAATATATATGATAAATATATATTTTAATTATTTTAATATGAAGACGACAAGGCATGCAGTGAACTAGTTTAACGTTAATCGAATGAGCACCTGAAGATGGCACCTTTGTGCCGAAACATGTAGTGCGAGAGAGAGGAGTGAGGTAGATAAGTGTATGCACTAGAAGACGGTGAAATAAATCATGGACTTAAATCAGTGCAACAGGACGCTAAAATATAACATTAGATCAAGAAAGTTTTGTTGTTAATGGTTGTAGTAATTACAAATTTTGATCGCTGTCTGTTTCATGCTGGTCTTTTGCTTGACTTACTCCTCGGACCTGAAGATGGGTATGAAATGTTCCTCCGAAACGTCGTTTGACTTTTACGAACTAAACGCCGTTGTTTCGCACAAGACAGAAATCTTTAAGATATTCTCCTTGAATCTTGGGCCCCCACAGGTCGCTTAGTGAAGAGGGGGGGGTACATAAACCGATCATAGTAAAAACAGAGCATTTCTTTTTCATAGCAGCATATTTCTACAATTATGCACATTTCAAAATTGTGTCCAACCGATGGGACGCGACCCATCAGGGGGATGCGTTCCTCCGACTGAGAAACACTGATTTTCTATTCAAATGTGGTTCCACTTCCGTGGAGAAATGAAAAAGGAGGCCAGGAAATAATATTAACGAATCTTTTCACACGTCAGCCTGAATTATTCACTCGTCACGGGCGAAATGGCAAGTCGATCTGTTGAGCATATGCAGTATATATACTGCCTCCAGGCACTATGCTACAAGCCGGAAGGTCGCGGGTTCGAGTTCCGATAAAAATGATTTTTTTTTTCAATTGACCTAATCCTTCCAGCCGCACTATGGTCCTGTAGTCGACTCAGACTCTAACAGAAATGAGTACCAGGAATCTTTCTGGCGGGTAAAGGGCGGTCGGCGCGTAAGGCTCACAACCTTACTGCCATCTGCGAGCCGATTTTCTAGATAATGTGGGAGCTTCAACGTCTCACAGCCCTATGGATCTCCACGGTCTCTTACAGGGATAGCTTTACATTTTAATTAGGTATAACTACCCGTTTATTCACATTCACTGTAACATATATAAACTCGCATCATAACTTTGATTTGGTTCATCCTGGTCCGTCACACTAGCAATATTATAAAAGGTTATCAACTGCGTCCAGTGTGAATGATAAATGTTTCTTCTATCCTTTTTAATCTTTCATCCTTGACATGTTACGATCTGAGAGACCATCTTCAGAAGGATATATCAATACAGGCGGAAACTACTGTTACAATGTGATTGGTAATGATTGTAATGATTGTAATGATTGTACGTGTATATATATACTGATATTGACCAATCAATCAGCATATGTAAGGGCAATTTTAATTAAAGAAAGGCTCATAAATATATCTGCACCGCGATCCCGAATAGCGTAGTCGATATAGCGACTGACTATGGGAAGGACGACCGAGGGGTCGGAGTTCGAGTCCCGGTAAAGTTAAGAATTTTCACTTCTTCATCTCGTCCAGACGGGCTCTGGGGTCAACACAGACTCCTATTTAATGGGTAGCGGGGGCTCTTTCCCCGGGAGTAAGATTGACTGGAGCGTGAAGCAGACCACTCAACTCAAACTATTGTCGAAGTCAAGAAAACTTTGTCTATACATCCACTCCCCCACACGTCTTCATGGATTAGTACGTAAATAGTTAAGCATAGGGACAAATTTACTTTTATCGCTACGGATCCCTAGGGGAAACACGACTAGTTTCGCAATACTAAGGATAAATGAGCTACGCACGCAAGTAATTTTATTTTTAAAATTTGCACCTACCACATCTTCAAAGGAAAGAGCTAAATTACAATAACTGCTTTAGCAAACAAAGAGTTATTTATCATATACAATCTGTACATGGGACATAACATTTATTGTACACTACAGGCAAACTGTGCATT